TCAAGAATGAAAATTTGTACAATTGCTTCAAACATCGAATTTCTTCCGGAAAAGAAAATACGTTCCCAAAGAACACGACAAAAAAATAGTCAGCCAACGTGTATTGCTATAAGATGCACATGTTTGTTTTTATTTACTCTATTCATCGACTGTCGAGCAGTGTGTGTGTGTAAGAAGAAAAATATGAACACAATATTAAAAGTTGATTTTCGTCTAGTTCAACTTGATAAGTATTCTTCAAAAATGATAGAAAATGGTTGCAAATCGCCTCAAAATTAAGCTAAAAAATAGCGATTAACTAAATTTACATTTTTGTATATGTGGAAGGCTCGTCTTGCGCTAAAGTAGACAGAATTGGCGCCGAGTTCCAAATTAAAATGTATTCTTGATTTCTATTGGGTTTGTGGCTAAATTTTGAAAGTGAAAACATTGAAAATGAAAATATCGGAAGACATATCGTCGAAAGTAGAATGACAAAATTCCAAATCCTTTTTAGTACCAGATTTATCCGTTACCCTCGCTGTTGTGTTGGGTGTGGGTGACTTCTCTTCATTAATAGGTGCAACCACACCCACACCACATTGATCAAAATCGATAATTTTTTGAAAATGAATATTGTTTTTTCTTATGGTATTCATAAAAAATCTTGGATAATTAACTAAATAACAAAATACAAATAGAATAAAAATCATTTTTGTTAATTTTGTATCAAAGATTTTTTTTTTTTTGATTTGAATATCTTGATATTATTTAAATATTTTATTTTTTTTATGGACTTAAAATATTTTTTGTTTATTGTTAAAGCATTGGAAATTTTCGTAATTTATCTTTCAAGCTAGATAAATGTGAATGATTATGTCAACTTTAATTCATTGAACAATCCATTTTTTTTCTATATGTAGTTAAAAATAATTTGACAGGACTGAAATTCATTGTGTTATAACATTAAGATCATCTATAACAGAAAAATTTGTCACATTGAAACGATAAAATTGAACAAAAAAAAAGATAAAAACAAGATTTTTTTATTTTCAATTATTAGTATTTGATGTGAAAAACAATAATGAAGAAATATCATGTCGAATATTCTTCAAGAAAATGAAGACAAAAAAACAAAACAATATTTTATTGTGAAATCAGATTTTGAAATCACATTATGATTTTATCAACGATTTATTTTATTTGATTATCAATTAAATGTTTATGAGATTTTCAACAGACAAATAGAAAAAGAATTCATATCGAAATTCATTGAGAATATTTTATTGATTATTTGTTTTCTAATAAACTTCTTAATCACAATAATCTATTCTTTACTAAATATTGTGATAAATCGTTAAATATTCAATTTTCGTAACACAAAGATCAATATGAAATATGTGGAAAAAAGAAATACCTAAGTCGATTATTGTTCCAACAGGAAAACACTTTTCTCTTGTAAATGTGATCAACGATGGTCAAATGAAAACTAACAGTCAAGTAACGTACATTAAGGGTGTGAGTATGGGTGGGTGTTAGTATGGTATGGATGCAGAGTGTTGGCGCGAATGTGCATATCTATGTTTTTCAGTCATACCCACATCTACACTCACTCACACTCTTTTTCGAAACCTGAGGGAGATCCCAGGAGTCCAAAAATTGAGTGATGATAAAATAAAAAAATAAACTTATGAAAAATAATCAGGGTTCAATGCTGATTATCGAGCTAATAAAATTAAACTTATTTTGATTGGGGTGATCAGTCCATAATTTGACACGCTTCCTTTTGCTAATTTGTTGTCACATGTTTACAGTCAATTTTGTATAAACGATTTTTAATGCTATTCTTCAAATAATCTCATCACTACTCAACCGTCCAATCAGGATAACTATTCACCAGCTTGATCAAATACAGTACAAATTTGGATGTGGAGGCTTTAGACTATACTGATTAAGAGTAGAACATGAAGTAAAAAAAAATGAAATTTTGACGAGTGCTTCGATTTTTGGTGGCTGTATGTGTGCCGTATGAAACTGTTACTCAGACGATTGACTACGACTAGGCATAAGTAGAGACAGAGGAATTGCTGAAAACGGTGAGAACTTTTTTTTCTGCAAAGAACCTACGAGACTCTACGCGTAGAGTTTCGTAGGTTCTTTGCAGAGGAAAAACTCTCATCTTTGTCAGCGATTCCTCTATCTCAGTACATGCCTAACTATGATAGAAGGAATCTCAGTTACTTTGTATGCGAAAGACTACACTCATCATCATTCTATTGAAAAAAGATATAACTTCGATTTTATATGAATAAATTATCGTTGAATATATTTTAGAAAATCAACGAATTTGATGAAATCCACAAATTATTGATATGCGGATTAGTTGAAAAACAAGATTTTGAAATCAGTCGTAAATTAGATCCTTCTGTTTGCTTCAAGTTGTGCACAGACTTAATAAATAGAAAAAGAAATATTAGATGATTAAAAATTTATAATGGTTGTAACGATAAATTTGGAAGAGTAGCTTACCGCCATCCTTGATAATGAAGTTTATTGAACTGATTCATACGTAAGACACACTTATATATGAGAGAGCAAGATAGATAGATAACACAGAAAGGAACAATAGAGAGAGGAAGAGGATAAACAGGAAAGGAAGATCAACCAGTAGTGATATCAATATTAGCACAACCACATATATATAGTAACAATTTTAAACAGTATTAGTCAAATAAAATTTCACTTAAATAAATAAAACTTTACGATTTAATCAAGAAAACAACTTATAGTCATAGAACTGTACATTCACTTGAACAGTATTAAAAACAAAAAAAAAATTGTAACTTGATTTAAAGTTCGTTTGTTATTATAAATTAAACAAGAAGAAATTAACAAAAATTAGAAACATTTCTTTTTATCCAACATACGTCGGAAGGCCATGTTGCATATTGAGTTGTATTTAACAATTGACATGAATATGACTTAGGATCATAATTACGTTTCACAAAAAAATCTATTATAACTTTAGCACGATCGAAGTACGAACGTACATGTATCCACTCCATTTGTACAAATGGAATTTCTAATGCATCAAATACTCGACTTCCACTTTCAACAACAAAGCTTTCACTACTTTCTATGTCAATTTTTATAATTGCTCCACGAACACCTCGTGCAACTAATATCGGCAGTAATTCATCAAATGTTATTGTTTTAACTATATATGGATCCTTTATTATATTTTGATTAGTAAGTACTTTTTTAGAAAGATCAATAGCTAATACAAATCGACCTAAAGCAGCAGCATACATTGTATAAGTACCAATATTTGCTCCAATATCAATAAAATCAAAATGTGGATGACGAATAAGAAGTTGAAGTATACGTATTACTCCTTCTTCTTCCCAAATGGAAGTTGTATTCTGGAATGAATTACTGACATATATTTCATTTTTGGTTTCATGTAAACATATAGTAGTATTGATAAAATCAAGAAGCTTTTTGGTATTTATACATTTAAAATCAGCATTAATCGGTTGATTTAAATTAATAATTTGAATATTGGATGATACTTGAAATGGAATTTCTATTAGATTTTTTATCGATGGTGTGTATGACGTACAATTTGATTTACATAGAAAAGCTTCACGAATAAAGATATGATCAATTAAAACACCCAACATAACATTGATAAATAATAATAAAATTAGTCTATATTCCTTTATCATTAATGCGGCCATTACGTTTTATCTACAGTGCACTTCAATAATGTTTCTTCCCTATGTATTTTTAACTTTAAACTACTATAATTCGCTCTTTTTTAAGTAATGAGTACACAGCGAGAAAGTACAGATTTCACTACATCATAAGTAATGAATACAAATAAGACAACAAACAAAAAATACGTCAAAAGAAAAGATGATGTTTTTTTTAATGACAATTTGTAATAGGAGTAAATCTAATTTTTATCTTTCCGTTGATGAAAAACACAAGGGAAAGATAAAAATTAGATTTGCTTGTATTACAAATTGTCGTAAAAACAAAACATCATCTTCTCTTTTGGCGTATTTTTTCATTATTTAAAAAAGAGCAAACTATAGTAGTTCAAAGTTAGAAATACATAGAGGAGAAATATTATTGAGGTGCACTGTAATTGCAGTGTCTGTTCCTATCAAAGACAAAACTTTTAAAGAAAAATTTGGATTGTTACTTAGGAGAAAAGGTTCCCAACTGATCTACGGCATTTTCAATGATATTTTGTTCATATGTCGGAAACATTATTTTAAGAAAAATTTTAAGAGGGTTTAAACTCATAGGGTTTCCTTCGAAGGTTATGACCATTTTACTGATTTTTTCGTGTGACACAAAGTATATATAGAAAAACCGAACAAACGAATTTGAGTCTGAAATTTTGCCCATATATAATTCTCGTGGTCATTGGAATACAATAAAAGTTTTAGTGAAAAAAATAATTCATTGTCGAGATGTTCAATTGTTAAAAATGTCAGTCTTTCAGGACATTATAGATTACGAGACAAGCTTATAATAACTGATATCTCTCAAAGAAAACATTTTTTCCACTGAAACTTTTACCGTATTCCAATGACCACGAGAACTATTACAAGTAGAAACTAGCTAATCTTTTTTTATATTTAGGCTTATATCGATCAGATGCGAATGTGGTAAGTTATATATAACAAATAGAAAAAAAGTTTTATTCTTTATTTTTAGGTTGATATCAATATGATAGAAATGGTGAGTTACATATAATGAATAGAAAATTAATATTTTCTTTTCTTAATGTGGAGATTCATATCAATATGATAGAAACGATGAGTTACATCTTGCAATTTAGAAATGAATAATTTGTTTTGCTTACTTTCAGGTTGAAGTCGACATGATAGAAATGGTAAGTTACATATAATGAATAGAAAATTAATATTTTTTTTTTTTATGTGAAGATTCATATCAATATGATAGAAACGGTGGGTTCAGGGCTGCCATATCTTAATTTTCAAATGGGGTGTACCAGATTTCAAATGGGGACTCTTGGGGTACTTTTTTTTTACAATGGGGTACGTCATTGATGTACATAACTTTTTATTGAAATAGAAGGGTTAATGTGGAAACACTTAAAAAAAACTACTTTTCTATGAAACAACATAATATTCAATTTTTCTTTTTTAGAAATCAATTTCATTGTTGTTTTTTTAACACAATAAAATACTCTCAGTTTAATCATGACTTTTGGAAACAAATCTAAGTACTATAAAAATAAACGATATAATATTTTTCATTAAGGCATAATAAATATTGATATCAACTATAGTACTTTGGCGTCAAATTCAAGATGAAAACTTTTTTTTCAGTTTTGGTGTTTTTTACTTTTTCGTATTTTTCTATAAGCAAGAAACATAAAACAGTTACCATATATTTGTGAGTATAGTTATAGAGAGACCGCTACCAGCTACAATTAACATTATTTCAAAGAGTAACAGCTGTTAATAAATATAAATAATTATTCCTATAATGTACACGTTTTGACAAAAGTCTTTTCCTCTTTACCTTTTTATGATGTCATACTTTGATTCAAATTTATTGCCAAATAGAGATATAACATGAGAGTTTTATTTCAGTATGGTGTACAGATCACACAGTAATAAAACTGTCATGTCATATCTCTACTCGGTAATAAATTTGAATTCAAGTATGGTAGCATGAACAGATAACGGGGAAAAGACTTTTGTCCGGAGATGTATAAATGTCTCGTATCTCATCTGGTTTTGTTTTATTCCTCTGGTAAGCGTTTATTATAGTTTTACAGTTCTATAATATACTTATACAGCGTAGCTATTATTTGCCAACAGAAATTTACTTAATCATTCTAATTGGCTTAGTTATGAAAAAAATGAACCTTAGTTCTGACACTGGTGCCCGTAATCCCAGCCATAGTGGTTTTTGCTTTGGTACTAATCGCAGACGGAAGGAGACAAAACAATGATTACACATGCTCGCTAATACTACGATATTTTAATTAGCCGTTATCCTTTGTTAGAAGGATCGACAAATAATAGAATGGATGCAAATAAATAGGAAGTAGTAGACGAAAAAGAATACAATGAAGGCAAAGATGATGAGAATAATACGGATACATAATATAACATTGAATAATCTTTTAATAAACAGAAACTTTTCAAATAATACTTCTGGACTTAGAGACTATGGTGATTTTTAACCACTTAAGACATCATTTTTCCAGATAGTTCAGCCATGGTCTGCCTGGAATAAATACGTTTTAATTCCTGATAAAACTTATGTCACACTTTTTTTGCACATATACTATTGTTTATTCTCTTTATACAGTCAGTTTGATAATTTGCTAATATTATTATACTATTATATAGTTCCAAGTGTCCCCTAGCAAACACTTGAGTTTGGTTGTAAAACAACAAAAATCATTGCAAGAGAAGGGATTAAAAGACAACCCCTCACCTTGCATTCAACGCCAAAGTACTATAATAATCATTGGTCGATTCTTCACTAGTATTGCGTATTATGAATGTTTCTACAGAGACATGACAGGTATTATAAAAAAAAATATAATTCATTTCAATTCATAGACGAATTTATGACAGTAGAAATGCAAAAACTCAAATGGGATACAAACGGTGTACCCCGGGGGCACAACTTTTTTTGGGGTGCAAAATGGCAAAATGGGGTACTGTACCCCACAATGGGGTACGTATGGCAGCCCTGGGTGGGTTACATCTTGCAATTTAGAAATGAATAATTTGTTTTGCTTACTTTCAGGTTGAAGTCGATATGATAGAAATGGTAAGTTACATATAATGAATAGAAAATTAATATTTTTATTTTTTTATGTCAAGACTCATATCAATATGATACAAATGGTCAGTTACAAATAACAAATAGAAAAAGAGTACTTTACTTCTTTTTAGTTTGGGATTCGTATCGATAAGATACAAATAATGAGTTGCACATTACGAATACAAAATTAACATTTTCTTTTTATATT